AACACACAACGCCCTTGTTGTTCCAGCTCCACTGGCTGCCGATCTGCTACCGGGACCAATTTAAGGTGCTGGTGTTGGCCTACAAAGCCCTAAACGGTTCCGGCCCAAAATACCTTTGACCGCATCTCGGCCTATGAGCCCACGAGGACCTTGAGATCGTCTGGGGAGGCCCTTCTCTCGATCCCGCCTGCCTCACAGGCACGTCTGGCGGGGACGAGAGATAGGGCCTTCTCGGTGGTGGCCCCCCGGCTGTGGAACACCCTCCCTGTAGACATCAGACAGGCGCCCTCCCTTATGTCATTCCGCAAGAGCCTAAAGACATGGTTATTTGAGAAGGCGTTTAACTAAGTGCTTCAACAACTGGCAATGACGACTGGGACGGAATATGGATTACGAGATTGGTTTATGATTCTACGATGAGACGGCGCGGATGATTTAGTGTAATTATATGATTGCTGTATTATTGATAGTTATGCTGATATGTTGTTGTGCTATTGCTTTATTGTAAATTGTGTTTTTATATGTTGTACACCGCCGTGAGTCGCCCTAGGGCTGAGAACGGCGGTTAACAAATGCAGTAAATAAATAAATAAATAAATAATATGTGCAGTGTGCATAGGAATTCAGTCATGTTTTGTTCAAATTATAATCTAGCCCTCCAACAGACCGAGGGACTGTGACTTGGCCCTCTGTTTAAAAAGTTTGAGGACCGCTGATCTATATAACTAAAGTATTTGGCATGTAGAAGTCTCTTCCCCTTCTTACCAAAAGTCTGTACATGTTTTATTATACAATAAAGTCTTGCTTATCCAACATAAACAGGCCAACAGAACGTTGGATAAGCAGAAATGCTGGATCATAAGAAGGGATTCAGAAAAAGCCTATTGAATGTCAAATTACATTGTGATTTAAAAATTCAGCACCAAAAACATGTTTTACACCAAATCAACAGTAAAAGCAGTTCAATACACAGTAACGTTATGTAGTAATTACTGTATTTATGAATTTAGCACTAAAAGATCGCAATGTATTGAAACAGCAGAAGGCAGACTGTGTTGGATAATACAGAACGTTGGATGAGCAAAGGATGGATAGATAAGTGAGACTCTACTGTACTTTGTTTGAGAAGGAAGCACCATGAGGCTTCTCTCTTATGCAAAGACGTGAGAGTCAGCATTAGGAGCTCTTGCACCAAAGTTAGGAAACTCTTTCTCTGGTCTATCTACTCTTTTACCTGAGGTGTATCACCTGCAACACTAACAGAAAGCTTTGAACCTCTTTTCAAACCTTACCAGAGCACCCTGCCTATTTTCTCTCCTGACTCCTACTGGAAGCTCCGTATATAACCCTGGCTATGCTGCACTCTAGTCTGCTATAGATACCAAATATCCCCACAGGTTTTCAAGTCACACACTATCAGTCACCAAAAAAAATCCCACAGCAGGTTCACCTAAAGTTGTTCTACATCATGGAAATGACTTGGAAAGTACACAAGAATTGGAGAAAGGAACCGCAGGGGAAATCTTGTTTTTAAAATACACTGTCTCTATGGCTAGCTCAAAAGAGAGAGCGCTTCCATCTTTTCTTCATATATGTCTTGCTTGCAAGGACTTGAGGAAACAGTGGCATTCCCTCTTAGGCAGTTTTAAAAAGTTCCAAATCTCTGCTAGATTTTTTTTTAAAGACAGACTGCATTACAACTGAGTTTGGAGTGTGGAGAGCCTGAACAACAGACTCTGAATAACAGGGAAGAAACTGACAGGCAACTGCATGCTTGAAGAAATACAGGAAGGACGACCCCCTTTTCTCCTTCCACCCAGTATTTCTGAAGCCATTGTCTGACATGATCAAGAACAATGCCACTCCCGAGTGTGACTCTAGATAGGACTGAATTCTCAAATTCATTATTCCACCTTATACCAGGAATAGGCAACGGTTTCCCATTGAAAAGGGACTAAAACTCTCAATCCTTCACCAGAATGGCAGACTACAGCTCTCATAATCTCATAATCACCACTGGTTCTCCTGGAGGGCCACAGCGATACTCTGGGCTTACATACAGTAGAGGCCATTACACAATAAAGAAACTCTTTGATCTTAGCTATATGTGATGGATTTGAAGGAAATGGCAGGGGGTGCTTTTAAACCCATGTACCTGAGATGAAGGGAGTACATACCTGCAAAGAGCCGGTAGGTTCTTTGGCCTTTGAAAATTTTACTTTTGACACCTGGAGACAACAGCTCTGAAAAACATACAGCATTTCCATTACTTCTTTTTAGCATTATCAGATTTTGGTCTCTTCTCTCCAAATGTAATTGACCAAAAAAAGCCACCCAGCAAAAGTAACAAAAGATGCATTGAAAGCACAGCTGACTGACTATTCTCTTCTGAAAGGACTCAGGACGCACGGCCACCCTCCCTTTGATTTCAGTCCACCATGCCTGGGCTTGGACTGGATCCTCGGCTAAGATTTGGGTCTAGCAGGCCCAAGAATGAAAGCACTCTGCAGCTTTGATGCCATATACTTAAGGAATCTTTGTGGCTTTAAAAAAACATTATTTTATCAGAATGCCAGATACTTTCCCAAGATTATTTACAAGTCACAGCATTTAGTCTTTTTCATGCTTTCAGTATGGACATATCCTAAAACAATCAATGTCAAGCTTGGCAAAATGAGAAGAACTACTGTAGTGAACTATGCAAGTTGTGATTTAAGGCAACTAAAATGTGGGAAAGTTTACTGTGAGAAGCATAGCTGGTGCTCCCCAACTAAATTCTATGCCAGCATGTGTTGTCTGCTTGCCCTGCAGGTAAACGTGAGATCTCTCTTAAGAACCCCAGGGACATGAAACATGATTACTTCCCTTGCCCTAAAGGCAAGGCTTGGTTCAGAGGATCACCTTTGCTGATTTCCAGGTCAACAGGATATTCAATGTTTTTAATGAGTTTCTGGCACCCCCCAGTCTTTTCGTAGACGAAGCGCTTGAGGTGCAGGACAAGGACTGGAGGGAGCTCTTCGAGGGTCACTCTTCGGCTGATCTCCACCTAAGAGAGAGAAGCAAAGTGGGATTTCATTCAGCCTCCATCTCCATTAGGTACCAAGGGCTGAACATTAGACACCAAGAGTTGTATTGCCAGTTGATTCCCAGACTGGCAGGTGTCCACTTTTCATTTTTAGTCACTGCAAAGTTAGCAAACTCCACTGGGAAAAAGGCAAAGGAATAATGTCAAGCCAATTCTTTTAATAACATCTTGAATATCCCTCCCTCTATTCATCCATCATAGTAATGAATATTTTCAGTATCTCCAGTTTCATAGTAATGACAGTTTGCCATACAGAAATCACTTTGTGGACACAATTTGGCCTTCGATTCCATTCTGTACTATACCTAGAACACTATGTCCAAGGGCTTAGTCTATTTAATCAGTGCATGCTAATGGTTGTTGCAAAGTATAAGAGATCAAGGGCAATGCTTAGAATTGTTCTGAGGGAAAACTTATTTAAAAATGAAGCTTGAGATGCCTGTACTCTTCCCAGACTAGACACTAAAATGCAAACCAGACCAGACTAGCACCTCCAGTGAACACCCATTTCTCCCAGAAGCCATAATTGAACTTTTTGGGTCGTCAAGTAAAGAGGAGGCTAAAACCGAGTATGTAACCAAAACCAAAAGTGAGTGGCTGGCCAAACAAAATCGTGTGGTGAACCCTGGGCGTTTGCACTGCAAGCTTTCCTCCCATACAAGGACGCTTCTCAGACGACCAAAGAGTGTATTTTACCATCTTCACTCCCACACAACGTATCAGACATAAAACCCAGACGGGACCAGTTTGCCTACACATCATTTTTCATGGCAGCACATCCTCACTGTTTCCTCTAGGCTGCACTGCCCACACCTACCTTCTAAATATCCAAATCGTCTCTTTCCTATCACATGGTGCCATACTGTTTACAAAGATCTCTTGTGCCTCCTGCATTATGGTGAGCTACACTTTGATTTTTTTTTAATCCCATCTTTACTGTATCTTACAACTGTACCTCCAATTGTCCTGAAGTCTGAACACTACAGTTCTATTGATGACACTACCTTCTTAATGGATCTTATGGGGGGGGGGGGGATGGAAAAATGACACTGATTTCACACAAACATCAAGGGAATCAGAAGAATTTAGAATTACGCCCTGGAGGCAGAGAAATACAGCACAGAAAGATATCTCCAAATCTCAAAGGCACATTGCCCTACTTTCAGAAAGTCCAAATCCAATCCCAAGAAGTGTATAGCCAGCCAGAAAAGCACATACCTCCTGCTTGGTTTTTGTGGTATAACCCTGGACCGATTCTCTCGCCACCAAACTTTCCAGCGCGTCTTGAACTGTGCGTATCTTATCAGACTGGATGTCCAATTGCAGAGTGAAAAATGGCTGCAAAGTTGCAGATTCCTTTGAACTCTGTTGGTAAACCACAGATCTAAAGAAATGAGGGAGAGTTAAAGAGTTGTGTTTGTGAAAACTGTTCGAAAACGTCGCTCCAGAGAAGGCTGCTTGTCTGACTGCGGGGGCCAAACATGCTTTCACACATTGTAGTGTAGCTCCATAAAAAGAATAGTTCATGGTCGAAGCAAGCAGCAAAGTTTCAAGTGAGACTCATGGGCTCCAAACACTCTGTTTTGACAGGTGTGAAATACTCATAGTCAAAGTTGAGAACTTCAGGGTATATGCAGTAATGAAGAATGGTTGAATTATGAGCCTGCTGCAAAACAGTATGGAAAGAGTAATAATTTGACCAGCAACTAGTTATTCTGTTAGATTGAATATGTCCTTTTCCTACTCCCCCTTTTCTTTAAAGTCACGATAGGTAAAGTATAGCCACAAGGTGACATACACTTCCCAAAGGATTTTATGTGGCCCTAAATGCTTTTTGAATCCCCAGGCTCTTTGGGAAAAGGAAGGGAAGGGCCTGAAATGCCTAGGTTGAACAATTCAATCTTTTAATACGTAGCAAGGTGTTTAACAAAAGTACAAATGTTTGAGAAACAGGACAGAATATCAATGCTGTTCTTTTATTTTTTAATAGTACATGTGGGGCCAGAAGGGTTCCTGGTCCTGCCCAGTTACCTGGCCTTGCTTTCAACTGTAATTAGAGGAGATAGTGGGAAGCATCAAGTCTCTTTCTCTCACATCAAACTGACTTTTCTGCTTTGCTGCCCATTCAAAGGTTTCAGCATATTTAGATCCTTCACACACCTTGTGATGAACATGTTAAAGTTTCCTATTAAATACTGAATGCAAAATGATCAACACAATCTATTTACTTATTTATTTACTTCATTTCTACCCGACCCAGAGGGGCCTCACGGTAACTTACAAATCCAGAAAAAAATTTAATGCCACACAGTTAAACAATAAAACACACCTCATCAAAATATAAAACAACCTAAACATATAAGCATATCAATCTTAGATGGATTAAAACCATCTAAAATGCTGAGTAATGATCTCATATCCATAAGCGTTTTGCAAAATCCAGTTTCCCTGAAGCTGAATTGTTTTGAAGTTCAGCTCCTAAATATCTTATACATTGACCTCTTTACACAGTAGCTTCTTTATTTCGAGGTAAGAACTAGCTCTTTCTTGAGTAATGTCAAGATTGATGGTTGCGAGGGGCAAGTTGCTCCACCATTTCATTACTGCCAGTTTCCCATCAAGAACCGACAAGGGATTTATCTAGATGAAATAGGCTTTACTGTCCTTGAATCGTAGCAGGAAAATAAGTGTTCTGAGTCAGACGGTAACTCCTCTTTAACATACCTAACGTTTCTGATCAGGCATTTTCCTCGACGCCTCACAAGAACAGCAATAAAACAGAGCCCAGATATTTTTGGACTAAGACCCCTGTCAGCCCTCAGCTAGCATGAACAGCCATCATGAACACTGCAGGTTTTTTCATAATATCTGAAGAAAGGGGAATTCCACCTTGAGGATAATCTCCACAGGAAGAGCATTAATCATAAGAAATGCTGCACATGTCCTGGCATGAAATATTCACATACAAGTCGGCTTAGGTTTGGATGTTTGCATCCATTTACAAGGAACACATTAGCCTGAAATCATGAGTGAGGACCTAAGTACTAACAACAAAAACTAGCTAGGGATGTCAACAACTTCACTGGGAGGGAGAAATTGTCGAAGCAGCTATAATTTCCAATGCTTGGTTAACTACTAGTACTACTACTACTAGACAGATGCTATCTCTGCCACTGGTCTCAGAAGAGAAAACCTTCCCACTTCCCAAAGTGGGATCTTGTTTCTGCGGTGACCTACTTTACACAGTGAACTGGACGGGTGCGGCAGAAAACAACAAATGTGGGACGAGAGCTTTGTGGTTCTTGTATTCAATGGGACACTCCTTTGACTTAAGAAAAAAGAAAGCAAGCAGGAATCCCTTGGTTTCATCTTGCTTCCTTTGGAAGCCAACCAAGGATGCTAAACTCCAGGTTAATAATTGTGACCATATTAAACATACAAAGCAGAGGTCTGAAAATATACTGAAATGATTGTTTTGAAACCCATCATCTACAAAATATTCAGTCACTATTCAAAGTCAATGAAGGCACTGATACCTAACTTACAGCCATATCCTTATATGTCAGTTTTATAGATGCATGTTTACAATGGACCAAATTCGACATATGAATACTAAACTCCAAAACGGCATTAAAATGCATTAATCAGAACATCCTTCTGGGGAAGAGGCACGTCTATGAAAATAAATTCCCATTCAATCTGGACCCAATCTACCTCTTTATTCTGCCTTGGTCAGACCACAGCTGGAATCATATTGTGTCCAATTCTGGGCACCAGAATTGAAGGGAGATGTTGACTTTAAGCTGGAATGTGCCCAGAGAAAGAGGGCGACTCCAAGGATCCAGGGTCTGGAGAACAAGCCCTATGAGGAGCGACTTAAGAGGGGCATGTTTCGCCTGCAGAAGAGAAGGCTGAGCGGAGACAGGATGAGGGCCATGGATCAAGATGTAAAGGGAAGTCATAAGTAGGAGGGAGCAGGCTTGTTTTCTGCTGCCCTGGAGACTAGGGCGCAATGGAACAATGGCTTCAAACTACAGGAAAGGAAGGAGATTCCACCTGAACAAGAAGAACTTCCTGACTGTGAGAGAGAGCTGTTCAGCAGTGGAACTATATCTCTTTCTGCCCCAGAGGGAGTGTGGTGGAGGCTCCTTCTTTGGAGGCTTTTAAGCAGAGGCTGGGTGGCCATCTGTCAGGGGGGCCTCGAATACGATTTTCCTGCTTCTTGGCAGAATGGGGTTGGCCTGGATGGCGCATCAGGTCTCTCCAACTCTAGAATGCTATAATTTACAAGACATACGGCCTCTAATTTAAAAGCCAGAACTATTGTTCAGAAACTGTGGGGTTGCCCCTGCTTGTGTGAATTTTATTTCTTCAGCGTGGTCACTGTGAAATTCACACCTGTGGTATTTCTTGTGTCCATGCAGCTGATTCGGATCCTTTCAATGCTATTTGGTTAGCATATCAGATGTCGGGACTGGACTTACCTGTTCAGATCCATGCTCATTCCACTCAAGCAGTGGCAGGTTCTACGGCATTTTATTTACTTTACTTATATATATATTTATTTACTTTACTTATATACCGCTGTTCTCAGCCCGAAGGCTGGATGACATTTGTTGGACGGTCATTTGACCGACACTGTACACATTTGTCTCCCATTATGAACTGGACTTGGCCGCCAAAATACATGGGGATTTTGGGAAGGCAATTCCTTTTTCTGCCCTAGCATGACGCCCACCATCCACGGGACTGCTCACTAGGTGTGGATTTCACAGTGACCACGCTGAAGAAAGTAAGGTTGCTTACCTGTAACCATGTTTCTTCGAGTGGTCAACTGTGAAATTCACACAACCCGCCCATCCTCCCCGCACTCTGTCATGCCTTCTATCTCCGACTGTCTTTTGCGGTACGGAACTGAGGCCTCAAGCCCCGCTGCCTGGCTTTGTTACTGGAGTGGATGGGCGGGGCTGGAGTCCCTGATTTGGCAAAAGCTTTTCAATAAGGATCTGAATCAGCTGCGTGGATGCAGGAAATACCACAGGTGTGAATTTCACAGTTGACCACTCGAAGAAACATGGTTACAGGTAAGCAACCTTACTTTTCTCTATTACATGTTTTACTTGATTGATTTTCCTATGCCTACGCAAGAAGGTAAGGCGGGAAAAGGAAATCAGAATTAAGAAAAACAGCAAGTCTGTCCATTTCGCTTCAATACGCACTTCATATTAGATGAAATGTAATTAAAATGTATACCTTATGTGACCACCGAATATATCTGTAATGGGCGTTTGGACGAAATCCGCTTGCCGGGTGACAGAGGATTTGTTGCGCGGTCCCACCTGCTCCCATTCATCCTCACTGCCTTCCCCTTGTTCCTCCTGCTCCTCCTCTTCATTTGCAGACGTGGTTTCTGGGCCATTGGAAACTGCAAGCTCTTAGAAAAGGAAAACACACATTTGTTCATGCTTGCAATGAGCTCTACACGATACTTGGGGTGGATTGCTATTGTGCTGATAGCAATCCAAACTGTAAGGAAGTAATGCTTTGCTGAAAACCCACCATGAAAAGTAGCTATCAGTATTTCTACCTGTCTCCGGTGACCATTTTTGAACTACTTTGACTGCTAGCTCCTTATTGAAATATAAATTAAACAAGCACAGTACTTAAAACGCTCTGAGCATCAATCAGGATTTGGTCTTCTTAGACACAATTTGTCTTAAACTATGGTGTGGAAATTATGGTTAATCTTGATCAGGTAGAGGAGGTGAAGCAGACCAATGAAACCCATATGCACATTTGGAAGGGAAAAGGGTGGTTGAAAGGGGAAATGTGCCTTACGATTTATAGTACAAGTGTGCTTCGTTAATGTAAGAACTAAGCCGAGTCAATATTTAACAACATGGTTCAAAGCTAAATTATGCACCACAATTTGTGCACTGAGACGTAATAAAACATAATGGTTGCTTAAGTATTATATCTGCCCAGGGACTACATCAAAATAGATTTAAGCACTTCAATTTGCTTTATGAAAACTTACTTTCACTATGTGGAGACAGCAGTTTCTTCAGAATGAGCATTTCTTCATGTAAGCCATTGAGAATGAATCCCAAATACTCTTCCGCATCTTCTTGCCTCCCCTGAATAAACAGTAAATTCTTATAATCCATGACTTTTGGAGTGATCCAAAGTTACATCAGCAGTATTTCTATTTCTACTCCCTCATCACTATTCCATAAAGTGCTCCAGACAATAAAATTAAAATTGATCTTCCCAGTAATGAGACAGTACTATAAACTCTTCATCTGCAGGGCTGTTTCCGTAAAACACCAATGGAATAACAAGCGTCTTAAAAGAACTAAGCCTCACCTTTTCTGAAAGACTCGATTTGATAACTGTCAACAATCTATAAATGTATGTGGGTTCAAATGCAGCACCTGGTCTGATGTCTCTTGCAATTTTGTCACCTAAAGCTGCAAGGAAAATAAACAAACAAAAAAATGGAAAAGGTTGAAGAGGTCGAATGCCAGCACAGGAACACCTCTGACCTTAAACACACCAGCTTAGTAAAATCAGCAAGCAGTTTACTGAAGAATATATGTAGGCAAAGCAGTAAAAAAATAAAACAAGATCCACGAGTGTATACAAATCCACTCAACTAGGCACTTGAATCCATGAATCAAGACAGCAGGAAAATCTCATAGCTTGGCAAAAACTTGGTTCATGAAACTCAGAGCACTTGAAAGCAAGACCATGATAACATAACATTGACTCGACTGAGGCAACTGTCTCCGGTGAATTATAAAGCTTTTTCAGATCTCAAAACTGAAGGGAAAGCTTTTTTCCTGACCTTTCCACCAGATAAAGGTTTGTTATCTCTTTTGTTGTAGTCGAACTGATCGTCTCAGTCTCTGAAGACTTTGCTCTGTTTACTAACACTTTGCTTTCTGTCCAGGCTTTCATTAATCTGCTCCCTCATTAACTCCTGCACTTGACAAATCATGTTCAGACAGTTGTTCTGAGAAAAGCAGCGAAGGGCCTCTCTCAAGAATGTGGCCTTGTGAATCTTCCTGAGACAGCTCTGGCTTCTTCTGAACTTAACTCAGGCCCAAGCCAACTGTCATCCCCAGGCCATCATCGGGAACATCATCTCCGTTCTCATCAACATAAACGTAATTCCCATCATGAACATCAGATGCAATCACAGGCTGACATACAACAGAAGATCCGTTTTTTAAAAAATCACAGCTTCCTTTGTGATTTACTGACTAGACATATTTAATCTTCCAAAATCTCTGCCCCTTCATGGCTTCGCATTTTTAGACACATGGAGGTTTGTTGCTTCATCCGCAACACAAGAACAGTTGCCCTGCCCACTTGGTAGTGGCAGGGCAACTACCAAGTTCCTCTGACAACTGTTGCAGTCACAAGTTGGAAAAAATAGCAACCTGTTTGTTAGGGACATATAGAAAGCAAAGGAGTCCAAGAAACCAAGACAATTGATGAACAAAGAGTGTGATTAACACGTACCTGGAATTATAAACTCTGGAGACACATAGATTCTACAACATAAAACTGAATACACACAAGTCTCTTTTTCACCAAAACTGGCCCGAGAGGCGACTAAGGAAGGAGCCAGGCCTCTTCCCTCTCTTAAAAAAGTGAGATGCAGGTAAACTTGTAACATTCTGAGAGTGGGACAGAGTGCCTCAGAGATGCTGCATGGCTTTACACAGAAACAGAAAAGCTCTTTGTATTGTATGCTTCCCAATGTGAGCCCATTTGTGCACTAGAACCTTGGCTGTATCGCACAAAGGCTGCATTGAGCTCCTCCACTGTTCCCACATGCAATCAGACAGTTAGCAGCTGGCATTTTCTACCCACCTTGTTTTGCCTTCGGAGGAACTGGCATGTTTGTAAACTCATTCATCAGGCGGACGCTAAAGCAGAACAAAGAGAAACTAGTGTTAGCTACAGGGAGAGCAAACAGTAACAGGTAAAGTTTGCTATCCATTTTTTTTTAAAAAAGAATTAGGAACATATTGAACCTGACAAGCTTCAAGTTGGTTTGAATGCAATTTTCCTGCTTCTTGGTAGAATGGGTTTGAGCTAGATGGCCCACCAGGTCTCTTCCAACTCTATGATTCTAAGTCAGGCAAACTTCATTCATTTCAAGATAAAAACAGCTAACTTATCTCTGTTCGTTTTGATATTGTCACTTAAGGGAGTCAATAAGTCATCTTTTTCAGCTAATGCCATTTAAAAGCAAACCCAGGTGTGTTTTCTCCTCCAGGGCAAAAGTAGCTTCCAAAATTCTAATGGGATGAATGAGAACCTGGGCATAAGACTCAGAGGACAGTAGAAGGTGGTAGCACCCCAATTCATCCAGGCTCCCTTCTGCATGTATGTATAAACAACATTGAAACTCATAGCAAGCAATGGGATGAAGTGCTCCTCCCTCATCTCCCCACTGCTTCCTAGCTTGAGCAATTTACTCCAGGTTTGGATCAAACCAAAGTTCCCAGCCACTTTCAAACTGTGAAACTTTGGTTTAATGTCAGGTCAATGGAATAAAACAGGCCAGAATCCAATTTTAGTTGTCAATAAAGATTGATGAGCCAAACATACTGGGATAATGAGAAAGATAATCCAAATTTGCCACTCAAAGGAAGAAGTTACGCCTTCCTTGCAACTGTGGGATAAAACATGACGTGTTCTGCCTTTGCACCAATGTAAGTATATTCACAAATTTCCAAAGGGGAAAAGACAAAGGGGATTTGGAGCTGTTTCAGAGACAAGCAACGACCGAACAAGGCAGCAGTTAATGTTTACTTTAGCTCCATATAAAATTGCAGGCATTGCTCTGTGACAGAACTACTGTATTTTAATCAGAATACTTTAAAGCCAGAAGATGTCTATAAGAGGCCAATTTCAAAATTCTCAGAACAACCCCCTTATCTATTATTTAACTTATCTGTGCTCCAAAACATACTTCCCTCTGGAAGTGTTTGCAGGCCTCTCTAGGTCCTCCCATGCAATTCTATGGCAGACTTTGGACCCAAATAGTCAAATAATAACAATTATAACAATAATAGTCTTAGACACTTGGGAAGTGTCCAATTGTGATCCAAACAACAGCCAGCATAGTAACCTTGTTAGCTGTGTACTAATCTTGTTGTGTTTCAAATAATAAGAATAAGAATAATAATAATGACAATAACAATAATGGATTCACTATTATCTATGGTTTCAGGTATCCATGAGGGATCTTGGAATGTATCCCTTAGAAAATACAGCAGTTGTACTTGTAGGACTCAAACATTTAACTATTCATTTTCAAAAAGATAAAAAACTAAGGAGCCATAGTGACTTGAAGACTAGTTCAATCATAACGACTGTCTTGCAATTTACTTACAAGCTGTCTATCATTGGTGTTGATGTACATGGCCGCTGTGATTTCGAATACATTGGAATGGACTTCATGAGGTGATACATAGGAGGGCAAGCCACCAAAGCTTGCAGTGTCTACAGAACTGCATTAAGGAGTCAGTTAATAAAGATAGCCAGTAGGAATTATCTCTCATTCTCTGATACTTGCATGCACACACTCCAGTCTTTGGCAAAATAAACTTTAACACTTCATGATGCAAGGGATCAGTTTAACAGTCATTGCAATAACCATTGAGTGGCCTTTAAACTTAACAGTACAAGGGTATCTATGGCACTTGAGAACACAACATAACCAAGAACCCACTTTAATAAACATGGAAGAAATTTCACCACAGTAAGGATACAGCGTTGATATAACACCAGTTTCCTTTATTGATCAGCCCACGTGGTTGCAAGGAGACTGGTTTATGTACTAGTTTTATATTTTCCAGTAGTTCTGTTAAATGAAGAACACATTCAAACATATCAATAAAAGCCAATCTGTTTTTAACTGAACACAGATCTTGACTATGATGCAAAATCAAGGGAGAAAAAAAGAATGTTAGCATCCCCTTGTGGTCAAAGAAAGAACCTTAGACACTCAGCTTGCTTGCTGAAAGATATCTCTTGAAGCTTTATCACGGCATCATTTTAATATGATTTCAGAGGTTAGGTTGATTTCATGGTAGTTTCATCTGGAATTGCTCCTGGGAACATGAATGTATTGTATATTTCTTCATTATACTACTTGTTTAGTTATTCTAACAATTCCAAACCCATCAAGATGCTCTGTAGTGCAACATGTGAACACTTGGAAGACATTTTCCTCCTGGAGAGAAGAACTAGGCAGCAATGCTCTTTTCATTATAACTCTAAATATGTTTAGCATCATGCAGACAGACTTAATTTGCTTTTATAACAAGGAATTAGTGTATTGCATGGGAAAGAGACCAGAGTGTAAAATGCAGCAGACAGCTGAATTACTCTAAGCCAATATTCAAGTCTGTTCTGAAATGCCTGACCTCACCTGCATTAAGAAATAAGCAGGACTAAGCTTACTCAGCAACATGAAGTCCCACGACCTGAAGCCAGATTGACATCCAAGCAACTTCATTCATGTAATCAACACGACAATAACAGTAATAGAAGCTTCTTTTTCTTAAATGTTCTTCTACAGAAGTATTTTCCCTTTGTAGTTATAAGTCTCCTGTGTAGTTATAAGTCTCCTATTTAAGAAATGGAACTCAGATCTCTCTAAATTTATTTGGAAGAATAAAAAGGCGAGAATTAGTATGAAGATACTGACAGATGAAAAGAAAAGAGGTGGACTGGGCCTCCCAAACTTTAAAGCCTATTATGAGGCATGCAACTTGGTAGCCATAAAAGAATGGGCCACACTTGAAGATACCCAGCTACTAGCACTGGAAGGCCATGACCTTAGGACTGGCTGGCATGGGTATTTATGGCAAAACAAGAGACGAGTTGAAAAAGGCTTTAGTGATCACTATATCAGAGCGGCACTGTTGAAAACATGGGATAAATATAAACCCAGACTCTGCAATGGAACCCCATTATGGCTATCGCCGATTGAAGTTAAACATAAAAGGGAACTAGGAGAGGAGAAGTGGATGACATATCAACAACTATTGACAAAAAATGCGGAAGGCAATCTAGTATTGAAATCATTAGAGGAAATTCAAAATATGAATAAAAATGTGTCTCCAATATTCTTCTTGCTTTTCAGACTACTAGAAATGTCGTAGTGCCACCATGACTATCACTATTTGATGGAAACATATGAAAAGTCATATAAATAGAATATATTACAAATACATATGGAATATAGGTATACATCAGTTAACAAAGTAGATGTGTTTCCGAGAAATACTTCTTTAATAGACTTTTTGGTCCCAGAAACAGGAATAAAAGGAAAGAATAGGGTTGGGCTCCTGCTCCACAAAATGGAAGGGAAGTTTGGTACAGTTCAGGAGACTGTTTATTAAAAACTAATAATATGAACAAGTGAAATAACTACATGCAAGCTCAGTAAAGGATCTTGGTAATATACAGCTGCAGCAGAATGAAGTTAGAGCTCCATTATTTCATAGCTTGAGCTTTACTGCATTCAATGTGTTATTTGACACACATGGCATGTATTTCTACAGCTCTCCTTCATCATCTTCCCCATGCCAATGTTGCTAAAAAAGGTCTCAGCTAGGCAGGAGGAAGAAAAGAGGGGCTGAGCAGACATACAAGGCCTCTGAAAAAAGGAATTTCACTGTCAGGTGTTTTGTTAACTGAGGTATGCCTATAGATCATTACAAGAACATCAACATTATATGTAATTTTCTTTTTCAGACCTTCTACTAATATGTCGATTTAAGATTATTAAATACAGACCAGGTGCAATTGTTTTGTAGAACCAGACACATGAAAAATGAAAGCATTTCTACCTCGTAAAAACAGAATATAGGAAGAACACCACTATAAAAAATAAGATGGTACAGAAAAAAGGCAAATTGGGGAAATTAACTAAGATTAGCAATTCTGCACTCCAAGAATATCAAAAGCCTGACATTTCCTGAATCATAAGGAAAACTGTTCTGCCCACAACAGTTAATTTCACAGGAAAGCCAGAAGAATAAACAACTCTCAGTATCACTCTGTCCCATTTTCATGGCACAGGGAAGCTTCTCAGTTATGCATAACACCTCATTATGGACGATGAGAAAAAGGCCAAGCTAAACATGTCTACTTTGTCGCAGTGACAGACTATTGGCAGACTGGCTTGATTGCTGGCTTACAACTCCAGGTTCATTTAAGTTAATGTTACCTAGTTAATTTATTCACTCACTTGGTGGAAAGGACAGAGCTGAGTGCACCAGTATATGCTAGTCAACAATGAATTGGGGGGGGGGGGGCAAGGCCTGGCTTATATTTATGTGTGAATGAAGCCAGTGTTTGACTTCTGGCTTACTGAGCAATAAAATGTGTTCCTTTTGTGATTAGACCAATGATGAAGAAAGTAGACAGCTCTATTCAGCGTTTCCCCTAACAGCACCCAGCTCTTCCAATGGAGAGGCTAAACCTCCCCCTCTCACAGTCCTGGGTGGGAGGGCATACTGACAGCAAAGACCCTCTGACACAGCAAACTTTCAGTGCTGAGTTGACAGGGCTTTTGAAACGGAGGCCGACCCACCCCTGAATCTCACAACACCAGCAGCAAAAAGTTGGCTATAGAAGAAAGAACAGAACTGTTTTAGCCTAGACAAACCAACGTGTGCAAGTGGTAGAGCCAAGAATTCTCCACCAAGAACATGCTGAAAGGCATGTATGTGCATCAGTCTGCAGAAGGTAATTACAACAAGGTGCTAATCATGACAAGCCCGGAATAGGGAATACAGGGCCCTTCCAGATGTGTTCAAATTGCATCTGTCATTACCCGACTATATATGAGAAGAGGATACATCTGAATTCCCTAGCTATATTTTAAGCAAAGCATGCTGCTCTACAGTTCAGTTAATCATTTTTCAACTAAGTTAGCGACTGTGCTCTGTTAAAAGTATTGCGCCATTTTGATCCATGCCTTCAAACCCCTGCTAGGTGGGCCCTGTTGATTTTTGCAGCATGTTAATGATACCTGCAATCTTTATGGCTACGGGATCCTCAGAAACTGGAACAGGCCCCTCTTTCACTTCAACCTGTTTCTCAGGGACCACAGGAGAGGTGGCAGGAGGGGTATACTTAGTCTCCACGTAAGCCATAGGCGTGGAAACTGAGGGCTTGGAATTGTGAAAGAGACTCGCCCATGATTTCGCAGGCTGATGAACCACAACCGATCCCAAAACAGGGGTGGCTGCCTCAGCAGGAGAGGAAGCACCTTCCAGCTTCACTTGGTCTGAGTCAGTACTTTCCACAGTGTGCAAGTCTACCCCATTGGCAGCTGGGCCCTCGTTAGAGGGTTCAAGTGTTTGGCCATTGGCAATGCCAAGGCTTTCAGTAGTATCGGTACCAGCGTAAGGCTGGACAGCTGTCCTTAAGGGGCTGTCTCTCCCACTCTCGGAAGGGATGCAAGACTGTTCCAAAGGAGTAACACTGCACACGTCCGGCTGCCCTGCAGTCCTTGTAGCATCTACAGCACTAGAAACTGAATCTTCTGAAACGGCTTCGCTAGCAAAGTCCACAGAGTTTTCAGGGCTGTTACAAGTCCTTGGAGTGACCGACGGGGCGTCACCAGAAAGTTCTACATCGTCTGTGCTTATGCTATTAAGTCCCGTTGAATTTGCATGTCCGTTCACCAATGCCTCAGCAGGAACGATGCCATCGCTGGCATCTTCCAAGTAACTGTAATATCCCGGAGGTCTTTTCTTCTTCTTTTTGCGTTCCCTTTGCCCAAGGCTTCCTGGCAAACTATCGTTTTCAGCATTAGAACCACTATCCAAAGTGAGAGAAGGATCCGAGAACTGGCAGTCAATGGAGTTATAGTTGGCTTCGTTGAGGACATCGCTTGGCGTTTTCTGGGTCGGTGTGCAACCAAGAATGAATTCCGGTGCCTGTGGGTTCAGAGTGCTTGAAATACTGTAGTCACTGTTATTGAGAACAGAAGAATCAGTCTCAATAACTTCATTAACACCAAATTCGATTCGCTGGTATTCTTCCCCTGAAAAAGAAAAAAAGAGTGCATTTATGGAGTGGATAACAAAAGAGAAAATAACAAGTATGGATTCTGTACTTGAACAAACTGACATCTAGAAAAGCTTTTGGTGCAGGAATTATGCATTAATGTTCCTATGAACTACTGAATAGCTGTGCAAACTTCAAATGATCTCAGAACTACCTATAGTATACTGCTAAATAATTTTTTCAGCTTTATCCAATTTGGCTTATTTAAGGCCTCTATTTTCTACTTTTGAACAGATTCTTCACATCAAGATGGTAGGAAGTTATACCACAAAACTGAAATGGCATCATAGTATGCAAGAAGGCCTCAGAGCACTTGATTTGAAAAGAAGTGTTCATAAAACAAATGAGCAGTGAGATATGCTATTAAAAAGTTTTTAAAATATGAAGTCATTAAAAAGTACCCACTGTACTACACTTAAGCAGCCAACTGATCTGAACCCCCAAAGCTGAACTCAAATAACAACCTTTAAATATGCTAGATTTCAAATGGGTTGGAGCAACAGTTATGAAGGAATGGCTTCTTACCATCACGGAGGTCTCCTGTGGACTTAAGGTCACATGAAATTGTGTCATTGTAGGGAGGCAGCTGCAAAGGAAATAAATCAAATTGGAGTTGAAAAATTATTTAAGCGATATTAACTTGTTTCTGCACTGCATGGCAAATCAAATGCTCCATCCCTTTAGTTGTGGTTAAATTGGCAGAACTCTCTATTTTTTGCAAATGGAGACAGTACCTTTTCCCTCAAATATGCATATCTTCCTATCATATCTTTATTTGAAGGCTCCTTCATTTACACATCAGCCTGAAGACAGGTTTTAAAAATCACAGGTCTGATTCACAAGGAAGAAAAGTTATTGTCTTAACTGCAGGATGACTAAAACAACATGCAAAATATACATGGCGGGGCACTGTGTGGCAGCCTTATAAAGCCAATTTCAAAAGAGATGACTGTGTTATCTTTCATTATAAAAATGTCTGCTGATTTATTTCAGCACAAACTTTCAGATGACGCTGAAGAAATAGATGGGAGTCCATGAAATCTTATCTCACATATAAGTAAAACGAGCTTAAAAGCATTCCTTCTAATGCTATAAAAGACTCTGAGGAATAGTGAAAACCTTTGGCACAATGAGAAATTTAAAACAGTTCATACCTCAACGGAGCAACGAGGTGTCACAAAGAAATCATTGAATTCAGCAAGGCTGAATTCTCCAAAGATGTACTGAAATATAAAACATATTACATCAAGTTAACTGTAGCAATTAATAAAATGACAAGATTTTGGCTATTCTGCAAAACTTTATAAGAACTGCAATGATATTTATTAAAAAATATTTAATAAGTCCCTTCACTTACATTCTAAAATACTGTATAATATAAACTGACATCCAGTTACTCAACCTATGATTCTAAACACACAATCAGCTCTCAAAGAACAATTTTGCATCCACCGTAAAACCTACTTCCTCAATATATTCATTATCTTCAGAATTCACAATTCTCATTCTACATTGTAGCCTAATCCTAAATGCTCTTTATTTGTTCAAGTTGTCCTTCCCTTTTTATACTTTCTTCAATGCTCAATTCTTCTGCCAACTCTTTCCTGGCTCTTGTTTTCTGTGTGCCCTCTGGAACAAGTTAATGGTCAGCTAGCACATTATCAGCCCAACTTACTCTTTTATTTTGTCCACTTCACACTGTATACATAATGACTGATAAATAACATTTGGCAGCAAAAGATGCAGGAAAACCTGTACACAGCTGAACAACTGTTTTAGAGCCATAGCACCAGCCCAAAGTTTGGCCCTGTAGCCCCAAATGAGGACACTGCTAGGAATGGTCCATCCAGATCAGTGTTTCTCAAACCGTGCTTCTCCGGGCGTTTTGGAGTTCATCTCCCAGAAGTCCCAGACAACTTACTAGCTGTTAGGAATTGTGGAAGTTGAAGTCCAAAACATCTGTAGGAGCACAGTTTGAGAAACTATGGTCTAGATCAGTGGTTCCCAAACTTATTTGGCCTACCCCCTGGAAATCAATTTTTCTAAAGCTTCTCTTCTTTCTTTTATGCTTTCACTGCCCCCTTACAGTTATTCATCGCCCCGAAATACACCTGTGGCCATTACCGCCTCCCCCCCCCCATCGCTTCAGCGCCCATCAGGGGGCGGTAACGCCCACTTTGGGAATCACTGGTCTAGATTATGGAAACTTCGAGTGCCTGAATATCCAGGTCTGTGGGAAAGTGTTCTTTTCTAGAGATGCATCTAGATATTAAAAGGTTGAACGGGTTTTGGTCTGATTATATTCTTCTTCCCTAAAAGCTTTTCTTTCATGTCAAACATTCAACTAAGATTGTTCCCCAATTGTGAGTGATTGACTTTTAATTGCCTGTTAAAACTCTTACAAACTTTTTCTTTTGACTTTCTTAGCTTTGAAGCAAAACTGGATTCTAGGAATGCTTTTAAATAAAGTGAATTTTAACAAGTGTATGGAGGCATGCCCTATCCCTCTGTTGTGACCAAATCTATTCTAATAAATCTGCAGTTCAGGAATACATGCACTAAGAACTATAGAATAAACCACTCTAAACATCTTTTCAAACTACAAAGTTCTAGTGATCCAAAGTCACATGTCTTTCCATTCAAATAATCCACCTCCATTTCCACTCCCAATATACTTGTCTAAGCAACTGGATTGTGGGATGGATGGTTCACTACTAGTTCTAACTTACTATTAGTTGGTATTTCTTCTTGTTAAGTAATTATGAATTAGACACCTCTACCAATTTAATGCAGATCATTCAGAGGTCTGTATGGAGATACAAAATTAACATCTGCCCATGCTTTGCTAAATGCATAAACTTCATATGTAGTCCTGGAAATGCAAATGTCTTCTGGAAGCCAGGCTTTTTAAAGTTCCATGCTTAAATGCTAGTATTGTTATGATAAAAAAGTTGCATCCCTATTGGGGTATTGTGTGGGTTCTGGGCTGTATGGCTGTGTTCTAGCAGCATTTTCTGAAGACGCCAGCCACAGATGCAGGCAAAAAGTCAGAAGAAAATACTGCTTGAACACGGCCATACAGCCCAGTGATTCCAGTCATGAAAACCTTTAACAACCCACTGTATCCCAAATGCTTACACTTCTTTACAAATGCAGTGCCGTTGGTAATGAAGTTGGAAATGATGAAATGAAATAAAGTATTTCCTGAAGTCAAATACAAGCCTATAAAATTGCTTCTGGTTTTTTTAAATTGTTAATCTGTTAAGGACCATCTAAGCAGCTGGTAGAGATCAACTATGTCACACCTCAGAATAATCAGGCAACTGAAGCATGTTGGAAACCATTCTCATATTTCAATGGACTTTTTTACAACTCCAATCAAGCAATAAAGCTTTAGGCACAGGCAAAATATATTCAAAAACCACTTTATACTAACATAAGATATCTAACCAGAGCTGACCTTGCTTAGTTTCCAAGATCAGATGGGCAGCACAAAAAATTTACTGAATCATAATTTATTTTAGATGAAGTCATGCAAAGCATGAAATGCAATCATGCAGTTTAAAATGCTGCTACACAAATAAAACCAATTCCCACACACATTACTCTCTGGGACTTAAATCAATTATGCTGAATGCTTATATACTACCCAATAGCACACAATACCAGAAACATCACAAAAATATGCATTTCAAGCTACAATAAAATCTTGGCTAATTGTTCTATCACACACACCAAAACTATGGTAGATCAGTGCTAGTTATTTTCTTTACTGAAGCAGTGTGACTGTGGTACAAATGCAAATTCAAGGAACGCGTGCACACTCACGACCCATCTTCATAATAATCAGCTGCTACTTGCTGGTAGCAGGTGTCATGAAAATGTAGCAGGATGCAAGAAATCTACTGATATAAATGCACCATGCCATGTCATAGCTACATAAGTCATGAAAAGCACTAAAATATATCAAACACAAGCAGAGGCTACTCTTCCATGCTCCCATTTCCCCCTTCTCCAACACTGACCAATTCAGTAAAATTAATGGGCAGAAGTGGCAAAATGGACTACACCACTTTGGGTTGCAATGCTTCACTATATTTAGAAGTCCCTGAAGCAGCACAGGAGGACCAGGGCTTGCCAATGCTTTCCGGGGGGGGGGGGGGGGGGGGACTTCCAGTTAAACAGAAGGCAAGAAAGGGGGGTTGGGGTAGGGTCCCATAAGCAGACTTTATTAAAAGGAGCTTCTTTGCCAGAGGCTTTGGTAATTGAGGGATGCCTGTGTTCTAGCACACGGATGTAACCCAGACCAACAACTAGCCAAGCTTTCTGCTCTCTAAACTATTTAGAACATTTAGATCTATCTTTATTACTCTCTAGCTTCTAAGCCAGTCTGAATACTGGTGGGGTTGGGGGGGGGATTGATTTTGTCATTTGGGAGTTGTAGTTACCAGGATTTATAGTTAACCTACAATCAATGAGGATTCTGAACTCCAACAACAATGGAACTGAACCCAATTTGGCACACAGAACTCCCATGACCAACAGGAAATACTGGAAGGGTTTGGTGAGCACTGATCTTGAGTTTTGGAGTTGAGGTGCACCTACATCTAGAGAGCACTGTGGACTCAAGCAATGATGGATCTGAACCAAACTTGGCATGAAATCCCAAATGTGAACACTGGTGGAGTTTGGGGAAATAGACCTTGACATTTGGGAGTGGTAGTTGCTGGGATTTATAGTTTACCTACAATCAAAGAGCATTCTGAACCCTACGAACAATAGAACTGGGTCAAACTTCCCACACAGAATGCCCATAACCAACAGAAAATACTGTGTTTACTAATGGACTTTGACGGCTCCTCTGACACACCCTCGTGACCCCCAACCCCGGGTCCTAACCCCCCGTTTGAGAAATCCTATTCTAGCCTCATCCTTTCAATTCCTGAATATACGATTTACTAAATTCTGTAGATCCTAAAATGGTATCCATACCTACAAGCACTGTTAAATTGCAAGAACTGTTGTTGTTGTGCTTTCAAGTTATAACCAATTTATTGCAACCCCAAGGCAAAGCTATCAGGGGGTTTCTTGGCAGAATTCATTCAGAAGGGGATTGGCCCTTGCCTTCCTCTGATGAGAGAGTCTGACTTACCCAAGGTAAGCATGTTTCCATGGTTGAGCAGGAATTTGAACCCTGGCCTTCACAGTCATAGTTCAATACTCAAGACGCTATACCATACTGGCTTTGCTAGCCTTCGTTAACATAAAAAGTTTGATTTGACAGTCAGCTACATTGATCACAGAGAGAACAGGGAGACACACAAATTATATCCTATTGAATATATTAGATATATGTTCTTATCACGAACCAAACACAGCTGTAATGTGACAGTTTCAAAAATCATACTTATTGTTTAATAATGACATAAATGACATAATTTGGGGGTGGTGATACTAATTCAAGGGAAGGAATGAATCTATTTGTCCCATGAAGCTTCACTCCGGGCAGACAGCATCTGTAATACTGCATTCCAAAACCTGCAAATCCTGCTAGGGAAGTAGGAAGGATAATGGAGATGCTTTAGGGCAGCTGCTACCAGAACAACAAGTTAAAGTGCCTTTTACCTATTTTATTTGACAGTTATGGGGGAAAAGGGTCAAAGCGTTACTGGTTTCTGCAGACTAATAAAGCCTGTCCACCAAATAATTATCAGCTGAAATATGCTTCTAGCAATACTTTATAACTGCTACATGATTAAAAAAAGATAACATAAAGATCCATCCCTATGGGTTGTGTCTATTACATTCCTCAAACCTTACTTCTTAAATGAAGATCTAATAGAGTGGTGCATGGCAAATTGGCTTAGCATGAAACATGAAAATGCTCCCGATACCATTGAGCACACCAACACTTCATTCAACTCTTGTCCTATCTAGATCAAACAAAACCTTCAACTTAATCAGCTATAAAGTGACCTAATAAGCCTCTTACTGTCTCCCAAGGGAAACAGCAGTTTCTGATGTGCAGAGCCTTTCTAATGTCAAGGAAAAATACATTTGTCCCACCCCATTCCAAAAATGAATGGATGAGATTATTAGAACAGGTGCACTTTTGCAGGAAACTTCCAACCGAGCTGGAGCAGAAAACTGAATATTAAGGATCAGTTTTCAACTTTCCACACTCATGAAACTAAACAACAGTTCTGTTTTGTCAGGTTTAGAA